CATCATCTGTGTGAAGATCTATTCTACAGATCTATCTTTAATAACTCATCTGCATAGTGATTTAAAGTTTATAAGTATGTTGGCACACTAATTCAAAGATACCATCAAATGGATTCAAGGATAATATTGATATCTTGTGTTTATATAGTTTCTACCTTCTTAGGAATTCAAAGCATTTAATACATTATCTCTATTACCCCCCCCCAAATTATTCTTCTAGGTTACCATGTACTAGTATGCTGATTTTACAGATGAGGTAATTGACACAAAGACACCAATGTTTTATATACGGTTACCAAGTGAGCTAGGGCAAAGTTAGAGTAAGAGCCTAGGTCACCTTACTCTTACATCAATTTTCTTAATCATGCTATCTTGCCTTTGAGAAATCAATTTCTAGCTGGAAAACTCCCCAACATATAATTCAGTAATGTCCTCAGGACCCTCACCTACCCGGTTAAAGTGAGAAAAAAGTATGTAAAATGGAGTCTACAGAAGCAGAAAGGTTTGCTCTGTCATTTTTCTCTTGGATTACTCCCATTGCCTACTCTAACATAACAGAACAGATTCCTATGCCTTTGTAAATGGTAGTTAAACTCCCCAGTCCTTCAGTATGAAGTTACATAGTTCACACCAAAGGAATGAAGAACTCTTCTGGGACTGCAGAATTCCATAATGTGCAAATTAGACCTTTGACATAAAAATATCCTTATGAGCGCGGGCCTCAGCATTAAAGGATGGATCTATTACAACAATGTAACAAATTCATTCACAACAAATTCATTATATCAGACAGCCAGAGCTGCAAGAGACCTTGGAGAATATCAGAGCTTAGAGCACAGAACACTGAAGTTAGAGGAGCTCTAAAATAAAATAGTGGAGAACTGGCCACAGAGTAGAGATATTGAAAGGGCCCATAACACTACAGGACGACTTGCGAGCCATCTCCACAACAGTCAACATCTTCATCTGCTACCTGCAACCCTCCACAAGACAAACTTTGGACTCCTCCCCTGCAATACCAGGCTCTGGTAGGTGAGATTTGGCCTTATCTCCCCCAGAACCAGTCCTCTCCAATACTTCCTCACTATTGCCACATCGTGCCACAGCACATGTAGGTGTATCACATCCCACCCCCACCCCCACTGCCTCACCTTCCAACTTCCCCTTCTGGGTTAACTTCCCCCATTAGAATTCAGCTCACTGAGGGCAGGAACTGTCTTACTTGCTTACATCTGCATCCATAGAACTTAAGACAATGTCTGGCACATAGTAAGCATTTAATAAATGTTCTATCAGATGTCAGAACATAGAAAACAGAGTGTTAGTGCTATAAGAAATCTTGTAAGACCATATAATCTAACCAAGGGTGGGGAACCTACAGCCTCGAGGCCACATGTTGCCTTCTAGGTCCTCAGGTGTGGCCTTTTGACTGAGTCCAAGTTTTATAGAACAAATCCTTTTATTAAGGGGATCTGTTCTGTGAAGCTTGGATTCAGCCAAATGGCTGAACTTGAGGACCTAGAAGGCCATATGTGGCCTCAAGGTCGCAGGTTCCCCACTCCTGCTCTAACCCCTCATTTTCAGAATAGGAAAATGAAGGCCAGGGAGATAAATGACTGGACCAAGACTGACCGGCCAGCTAGTTAATGGCAAAGCCACAGCTCAAAGCTGCTTCTCCTGCCTCCTTAATAGAAGGCTCATCCCAGGGCAATGTGCTACTAATCCTGGCAACAATATTAATATGAGAGCACTCAGGCATCTGTTTAGAAGCCAAAATGTTGGGGAGGGGGGAGAAAGAACCTGATTAGCTGGTTTTTGTGCATAAAGTGAAAGAATTCTGGAATCCTGCTTTAATCTCATGAAGTCTAGAAACAATGTTCTAATTAGCTTTGCACCACAGCCAGCTACTATGATTATTTATAAAAACAGATGGAATGACAGGCACGTAGATGGAAAGAGCTCCAACCACAAGGATCTTAAAGTAAAGAATCCATTGATAAATTGCTGTCTAATCCATAATGGACAAAGGCTAGCAGCTGGCCAATATGGTCATCAACATTGGACAGAGGTCAAAGAATGCAAACAATGTGGGTACTACTTGCTGAGGCTTTCCCACTCACAAGAATTTACTTACACTGGTCCCTCTAGCTGGAATGCCCTGCCCAATTCCACCAGCTAAAATCCTCACACGCTTCCCCTTTTATCAGACTTTCCCATGGACATAATCCCTCTTTTCTCTGACAAAGGAGAACAGCATAAAACTGAATCCTCTTAAAAATTTTTAACTGTCTTATGATATTGATCATACTCTATGAAGCACAAATGGTATAAGACAGTAACCAACTTGGGAGCAGAACAACTAGGTTCAAGTCCAGGCCTCTGTCACTTTCTAGCTATGTGATAACGAGTAAATCACATAGCTTTGGTTTTGTCTGTAAATGGAGATGATAATTCTTATGCTACTTGCTTCAAAGGGTTGTTGTGAGGAAAGTGCTTGGTAAGTCTTCAAGGGTTATATACAAATATGAGTTATTATTATTATTACATTCTGCCTTGTTATTAAATGTATTTGTATACTTGTCTCAACCCTCCAAAACAAACTATAACCTCTCTGAGGACAGCAAGAGTATTTATTTGTAGTTGCCACAGGGTCTTACATTCCACTCTAATTGTTTCATTGAACTGAACTGAAAATCAGCTCCACTTTTCAGAAGATGCTCTCTCTTTGAAGCATTCTATCAATTAATTAAAAAAAACACAAGCATTTATTAAGCACTATGGACTGGGCCAGATATAGGGATACAAACAGAAAAATGAGAGAGCCCTTGTCCTCTAGAGGCTTATATTTATACTGGTAGGATATGACATGTTCACAAATAAGTAACCACAAGAATTATATACAAAATAAATACAAAGTGATTGGGGGGGAAGGGCTCTAACAACTGGGGGAATTGAGAAATGCCACTTTGAGAAGGTGGTACTTGAGTGTAACCTTGAGGGATCAAGGTGTTCTAAGAGGTGAGGAGAATATTCCAAGCATGCAGGATATCCAGTGAAAAGACATGGAGGAAAGAGACAGAGAACTGTATATGAAGGAAAGCAAAGAGGTCAGTTTGGCAGTACTAGAATATGTGAAAGGTGTGAATTAAAATCATCCTTGAAAGGTAGGGTGGAGTCAGCTTATAAAAGGTTTTGAAAGCCAAACAGAAAACTTTGCATTTTATTCTAGAAGGAATGTAGAACCACTGGAACTTTCTGAGTACAGAAGCAACATAGTCAGACCTGTACCTTTGGACTAACAAAAGAGCATCTGTGGCAGATGGATTGGGGAGGGCAAAGGGTGAGAGGCTGGATGCCAAGGAGACTAATTGGGAGGCTACTACAATTGCCTATGTGAGAAGTGATAAGGATTTGAAGTGTGGTAGCTATGGGGGTGTATGGAGAGAAGGGCTTAAATACCATTATGTATATGAGATATGTTGTAGAATTAGAATTGACAAGACTTAGCAATATATTATACATGAGGAATGGGTGAGAGTGAAAAGTTGAGTGATAATGCTTAGGCTGAGAACCTGGTGACTGGAAGAAACAGGATGATTAGGTTCAGGGGACAGATAATAGTTCAGTTTTGGAAATGAGTCTGGATGCCTTTGGGATATCCAGGTGGAGCTGTCCAGCACACAGTCATAGGTCCAGGGGTAGGATTTTATGGATTCTGTAAAGTTTGGATTCACTATCAAAGGGCTGCACTTGAGGACCTAGAGGGTCACTTGTGGCCTCAAGACCGAAGGTTCACCACTCCTGTACCTAGACTAAGGCTCAGAAGAAAGATGAGAGCTAGATAAGTCATTTTGGAAATAATCTGATAGTTGAACCTGTAAGACCTGAGATCATGAAGAGAATATGTGTAAAGAGAGTAAAGAGCCCAGAACAGAGTCCTAGGGTATTCCCATACAAGGCAGTAAGGCATGGATAATATGCCTAACATGCCTTACAAAGCTGACATTAAAGGTTTACAAAGCACTTTATATACAATAGCTCCTTTGAAGCTCCCAACCACCCTGGAATATGGACGCTATTATCCATACTTTACAGATGAGGAAAATGAGGCTTAGAAATATTCAGTGACTTGCCCAGTGCCACAGGGCTAGTAAGGGCCATTAGTAGAATGGGAACCCAACTCACCTTGACTCCAACTCCAACATAATATAAAACAAGTCATATGTACAGCCCTGTTGCTTCACAACTGTGATTTCTTTCTCCTTGATTTTCATAGCACTTGGCATAGACCAGATCTTATAAGATCACACAGTCTGACCAAGGGTGGAGAACCTGCAGCCTCAAGGCCACATACGGCCCTTTAGGTCCTCAAGTGTGGCCCTCTGAATGAATACTAACTTCACAGAATAAATCCCCTTAATAAAAGGATTTGTTCTGTAAAACTTGGACTTAGTCAAAAGGCCATACCCAAGGACCTAGAAGGCCACATGTGGCCTAGAGACCACAGGTTCCCCACCCCTGTGGCCTAGAATATTCCTCTGACCTTATCTCAATCCCCTCTTATATCAATGTATTTGTGTATTTGACACTAACATTAGCAATTAGAGAGCAAGGTCTGTGTCCTATTCAATTCAATTCACTCAGTGTCTTTTAACATACTGGCTACTGAATAAAGGTTTATTGAATTTACAGGAAACTTGACTCTGGGCAAGTCACCTGACATCTCTGGACCTGTTTCTCATGCATAAAATAATATATAAAGGGACAGTTTCTAAAAGACATCTTCTGATCTTAATACTGTATGTTCTAAAATTTCTTCAACCTCTGACATTTTTTCCTAAGATCCTTTCCATCTCTGACATCCTATAAATGATAAAACCATGATGGACAGTCCATCTATCTCTGTATGCCCAAGGTCGAGAATAAGGCCTTGCACTTAATAAATATTTGCTGAATTCAGCTGAACTGTATGAATTTCACCTGAGAGTCACTTAACTTACTTGGGAATTGGCACCCGAATTACTGTCCCATCGACTTCTGGATTCAGATTCATTCCACTTTCTCTTATGGCCTTGATAGCTGCAGCTGTACACTGCAAACCAGATCAAACGGTGAGTAGAATTAGTAAATAATTATTGCCAGATGCAACTGCTCTGTCGACAGTTGGCGATCCATCTCAGCCGAACATGGAAACATTTAGTTCTGTTCCCCGTAAGATCAGGAAGTTACATTGGTGCAGACTGCTTTGATCAGGCTGAATAGCAAACTGTGTCCACTCTTGGTACCAGAGTACTGCAAGAGAAAAAAAGTAACAAGAAGAAAAAAAAATCTCTGCTGCTTTGAAAAGATTTCAATGGTTTGAGGCAATGCAGATCAAAACCACAATAAATCCTCCAGGGAGGGGGCTGGATTGTACAAAGATTGGTGTAAAGACAGATGAAAGATTTTGTCTGTTAAAAATTCCAGTTGACTAGAAATCTCCCAGTGCCGATTGTGAAAGATTAATTCAATTTAACTCCTTAGGTGCTAGACTGTGTTCATGCCAAACATACTCATTCCTTTTCCTGAGTGATGAAATGGCTGTTTGTGTGTTCATGGGCACGGTGAGAATGTCTGTATTTGAACTCTGTGTTTGAGCCTCAGGGCTGATGACCTGTGTCAAAGGGCTTCTGGAGGCTGGCTGAAACAGTCATATTCTACTAAGTGTCATAGAATTACAGCAACTTGGGAGTGGAAAGGCATCGCAGAGATCATCTAGTTCTGGGATTCTTAACCCATTTTGTGTCATGGACCCCTTTAGCAGTCTGGTGAAGCCTAAGGACCCGTTCTCAGAAAAATGTTTTTAGATGCATAAAACAGATAAGGTTACAAAGAAAACTGATTATATTGAAAGACAATTATCACAATTGTTTAAAAAAAAAGTTTACAGACCCTAGGTTAAGAACCCCTGATAATCCAACTCTATAGCATCGTGAACAATTGGTTATTCAGGCTCCATAAATATGGAGAACCCATTACCTCCCAGCCCATTTTGGTTCAGAACAGCTCTTATTCTTGGGAAATTTTCCATTATGGACGCCCAAATCTGCCTCTCTAAGATGTTCATACACTACTCCAGGTGCTGGGGTAGAGACTCAGAATAGCTCCTTTAATAACTTTTCCTCCTGCCTAAGCAACACTGCAACTATACCTGGTCTGCCATACTAAGGAGCAGCTCAAAACTGAGAACTTTTCATTACCTGCCTGAAAAATTCATGAAAGCAGCCTTCACTGACAACATTTTCTGGGAATTAAATCTAACAGCCAAGCACATCCAGAATCCTACTGAAGCACTCAATATCTTAATTCTAGGTCCAGCTCCTCTTCCCCTAGATATTCCTAAGCTCACGTTAAATGCCTTTCGCTGGGAAGGGGACAGAATAAATCAAATCTGCTCCCCTCCATTCCAAAAACAACTCTCTTCCATGATCAACATTTATTCATGAAACATTAAAGGCCAATTTCTGCAGAGCACCATTCGAGGTGCAGGTTCTATAAAAGGTGCGACTATAAAGTGAGGGGGACTTACTAACTATTGTTGTTGAGGTTTTTTTTTTCCTTTTAATACAAAGAAACCAAAGTTTACTCATCTGAATGAGTGCTCTATCCAGCAAAGTAGTTCTCCTAGGAGATATAACAATAATAATAATAACTTACATTTATACAGTACTTTAAGATTTACAAAAAAGTCTCCTCATAAAAAATTAAGTGAGAGCCAGAGCCAGGATCTAAATACAGGTCTCTTCAGAATCCTGGGCCAATACTCTTTCCACTATATGACATTGCCTTTCTCTAAACTTATACACTTATTCCAAATATGCTGCCATTGCTCAAGCCAGTCTTAGAATGTCTCTTAAAGAATTAGGCTCAGGGTCTTCAGTATATTCTGTTGAAAATCCTCAATGGTTGCAGATCTTTGCCTTCTAACTCATAAGTCCCAGATTACTATTTGATCTAATCCCTTGATTTTACTAAAGAAAAAAATACAGACTCAAGAGAGTGAATTGTACAGGGTCACAAAGTGAGTTAATGGCAGAGGAGGGATAAGGTCCCCAGTTTCTTGGTCCCTGGGTCAATTCACTCTCTACTACACCAAGCTGCCTGCGTCTCCTCCTAATCTTTCCAGTAACAAATGTATTAGATCAGAATGAAGAGTAGTGGTGACGGGATGAATCTGACACGTAAACAGCCAAAAGTCATTTGAACAAATCTGGTACATATAAGGTGGGTAAATGAATGATCAAGCTCTGATGTCAGGCTCTGAAAATGGCTCCCACTTCTTAGTGTGTGATCATGGACAAGTTCAGGATCCCTGAACCTCAGTTCTCTCAACTGTAAAATAAGAATGATAACAGCTGTGCTCATACCCCATAGCTAGGTGGTACAGTGGCTATAGCACTGGACTTCTTCAAAACAGGAAGACTCATCTTCACGAGTTCAAATCCAGCATCAGAAACTTATTAGACCCTGGGCAAATCACTTAACCCTGTTTGCCTCAGTTCACCTATAAATTAGCTGGAGAAGGAAATGGCAAACCATTCCAGTATTGTTGCCAAGAAAACCCCAAACAGGGTCACAGACAGTCAGATACAACTGTAACAACTGAACAACAACAAAATACCTCACAGGCTCATTATTATGAAGAAAATGCTCCAGAAGTCTTAAAGTGTTCCACAAGTTATTCTGCTTAGGGTCAAAATTGGGATACGACTATAAAATAATATGACTCATTTCTTTGCATGACTCATAATTTGGCCCTAAAGTCAAGGCCAGAGACTACACCTTGGAATAGGCAGACAGACAATCCCAAGAGAGCTACTTCTATAGGGACAACATCCATTTGGACATACATACCTCTATACTTTAATGGATTAATGACTGGTATTTATGCCCCCTTTAGCAGCACAGAGAACAACTCTCCCACCCTTCTTATCCTGTACAATTCTTGCCTCTGTCTGTTCTCTAAAGCCTCCATGAAGGATGTACCCAACAAACTTAAAAGCCTTCTTCTGGTTCTCTTTTTCTTTTTTATTATGAACTTAACAATTATCAACAAACATTTCAATATACAAAGCATAAAAAGATTGTATTTGAACTTCTGTTACTTTGTTTTATTTAACAAGGCAGTAACAAAATTTTCCCTTCTGTTTATAGGAAAAAATTCCTCTGAATTTTTTTTTTGCTTCCTTCTGTGTATTTTTAATTTCTTATTGATGTTCCTTCCTATCTTTTTTTTATTGCACCTCTGTCACCACTTACTAACACATCCTCCTCCCAAGAGGAGCTTCACAATATGACAGATACTGTCAAACAAAGCCCACCAACATACGGGTCATGTCTGATGCACTCTGGCCCGCTACATTCTTAGTTTTCTAAAGTCATGACTGATCACTGTGTCAATCAGAGCTCTGAAATCTCTCGAAGTTCCTTTTCTTTATATTATTGTGTTCATGTCCCTGGTTATTCTTTTTTAAAGTCTCCCCAGTGTCATTTCCCAATAGATGGCGGTCAAGGGATATGAATAAACAGTTTACAAAAGATTAATTGCAAAAAGTATGGTTCAGAGAAGCCTAAAGCCCTAGGCTGGAAGTCCACCCCCAGACACTTACTCTCAGGGCAACTTCTCATTTTTAAAATGGGAATAATATCAGTAGCACTCACCTCACAAGGTTGTTGTGAGAATCAAATGAGATAATGTATTTAAAGTGCTTTTCAAATCTTAAAGAGCTATATCAATTATTACTATCAACAACCATATGAAAAACACTCCAATCAACCATAAGGTACATGAACACACTATTGGTAGGGCTATCTATGATTGGGCCAACCATTCTGGAAAGTAGTTTGGGAAAGTGATTAAACTGTCCATATCCTTTGACCCAGAGATCCCACTGCTAGGCATATACTCCCCCAAAAGTAAAAGAGACAAAGGTCACACATGCAACAAAATATTTATAGTGGCACTTTGCATAGCAGCAAAAACAAGAATTAGGGTAGATGCCCACTGACTAAGGAATGGCTAAACAAACCGTGACATATGAATGTAAGGGAATACTGCATCACTGTAAAAATGATAAATATGAAGAATGTGGAAAAGCATGGGAAAACTTGCATAAAATGTAAGTAAGCACAACCAGATAAATAATATACACAATGACTACAATATGTAAAATGGAAAGAAAACAAATCGAGAATGAATGCTATATAATTATGATGACCAAATTTGGCCAAAAAAAAAAAAGAGAGAGAGAGATGAGAAAATGCACATTGCTTTTTGCTTTGCAGAGGTGGAGGGCTGTAGAAGTGAAAACATCACATATGCCATGTCTTAGTTAGTTTTGCTGAATTGCTTTTTTCCTCTCTATTTTGTTCTTTGCTATAGAAGATGGCTCTCTGGGAGGAGGGATATATTGGGGTGGGGGAATGTTCAAAAAAAATCAACAAAAACATTTTAAGAGGGAAAAAATGCTCCAAATCACTATTAATAAGGAAAATGCATATTTTAACATCTGTGAGGTTTCACATCACATTATCCATCAGATTGGCAAAGATGATAAACAATAAAAACAGTCAATATTAGAAGGGCTCTGAAAAGAAAGGGAAATTAATACAGCTGACAGAGCTGTGAGCTATTACAAAGTTCTACAAAATCACTTGGAATTGTGTGAGGAAAGCCACTAAACTGTAAATACCCTTTGACCCAGCAATTCCAATGCTGGGACAAATCCCAAAGAGGGTAAGACAGAAAATTTCCACATAAAAAAATACTCATGATAGCACTTTTCAACAAATGCTCTTGTAGTAGTAGCAGCAAAAATCTGAAAACAATGTGGGTACCAATTGATTGGAGAATGCCTAAACAAGCTGTAGAACACGAATGTACTAGCATTCTACTGCACTGCAGAAATGACAAATATGAGGAATTCAGGGAAGCATGGGAAGACTTTGGGTAAACTGATGCAGAAAGAGGAAAACTGAATCAGGAGTACAAGACACATAATGCTTATAATAATGTCAATGAAAACATTAAAATTTAGGTTCAATTCAATGACCATCTTGATTCCAGAGAAGAGATGCTGAAACAGATTCTCCTCCTCTCAACAGAGGAGTGGAGGACTAAGGGTACAAAAAGCTGTACATACTATCAGAAGTGGCTTCTGGGTCAACTGGCTTTGCTTAAGTGTTTTCCTGTGTAGGACAGGGAACATGGTGAGAACTGAAGAGTGGGGTACTTTGAAAAAGAATTATAACATAAAAGCAAATAGCAGCAATGATTGTTTTTAAAGATTCTGACATGCTGGCTTAAAAAACATGGATGACTTTATGCTTCATCTGTGCAGCACCAAATAAAGTGAATCTTGTCATTTCTGGTTCCAGTTTTCAATACTCCAATGAAAGTACTCTGATTTCACAAACAGGGAAAAACAATAAAAAAAAACTTTCTACTTGAGAAAGATACTTATTGCAAAATATGTAGATGGTTTTACTGAAATATTCTTGAAAATTGTTTTTAAGTCTATTGTGGCAGAACTCAGTACCTTCAAAGAGCAAGAGGAAGGTTTTATACAATATGGTATTTGGACAACTCATTTTTCACACATAAAGTACAATTTACCATTTACACACATAATACTTGGAATTTGATCACATTCACACACAGCTAGAAGGAATTTAGCCCGTACCACGTTTGACATATGAGGAAACTAACACATAGGCAGGGAAGGTGATTTGCCCAAAGTCACAGAGCTAGTAAATGGCAGGGCAGAGACTAGTACATAGGTCCTCTGACTCTCAGCCAAATTCCCTCACACTGTATTGCCCTATTTAAATGCTCTTGTCCCTACTTACATATATGTTTCATGGATCACATTAGTGGGATCCATCTGGGAGGAATCATGGAAAGACTTGAACAAGGACCGCACAGAGTAAGAGTGCTAAGGAGAGACAATGTGTACTGCAGAGGGAAGACACAAACTGATGAGGTCATGGGTCTACTGGAGTTCTTACCAACAGCCTCCACTAAAATCTTCCTCCAATGCCTCGTCACGGTATAGACGCAAAACTGGGCTCTACTGAAGGTCATGACAATAGATGGTAAGTGCTGGGAGCTCCTTCCAAGCTGAAAAACCTCCAAGTGTGGCACTGGGGCAGCCTACACCTGCTGGTGGAGTAGTATTCCAGCCAAGGGTGAGTGATGAGCCCAAGCCACCCCACGCCAAAGGAAGGCAGACTGCACACAGACTTCCACAGGTCAGTGCAGGTGGACAGCTCTCAGGGATTTCACCACCTTAAACAGATGACATTCATTTCAAGTCGTCTGAAGTCTGTCCAACTCTTAGGGTCATCGAGCTGGATGGAGACTTCAGAAAAAACCTAGTGAAAACGTTTTACTTGACAGAGGAGGAAACTGAGGCTGAGTTAAGGAATCTGACTTGCCCAATATAGCACAGTATATCAGTAGCAGAGTCAAGACTAGAGCCCAGGTTTCCTGACTCAATCTAGTGCTCTATCACATTGTGTATATGTGTGCACCCATGTTTCGATAACATTCAAAGGTTTACAAAGAACTTTCCTCACAACCCCTTATAGCAAACAGTACAAGTATCATGAGGTTCCGTGAGGTGAAGCAGTATGTCAAAGGTCACAAGCTAGTGATCAGCTAAGCAGAGATTGGAACCCAGGTCTTCAGACTCCAAATCCAGTGCTTTTCCCACTATTTCTAGTTAATTTCATTGCAGCAAGAGGGTAAGAACTGATTGTATTTTTTTTTCCTACTTGCTTTGTTTTGTTAAAATCATGCTGTGGTTTCTATTCCTCTCTTTTCCCATCATTAACTCTAGCTGCAGGCAAGTCTGTCCGTGGCAGCTACAAGCTTGTATCATTTATCAGCCAAGACACATGTTAAACAAATGCAAAAGAGGTGGTTTTTTTTTGTTTGTTTGTTTTCATGGTGCAGTGGAAAGAATGCAGGGTTGAAAATCACAAGACCTGGATTCAAGTCACAATCCTGACACAAACCCACTGTGTGACTTAGGGAGAATTACTTCCCCTCTCTAGGCCTCAATTTTCCCTTGAAAAATAAAGAATTAGCATTAGATGATCTCAAAAGTACCTTCCAATTCTAATGAGCATCACATACTGTAAAGAGCACAGGGTTTCGAATCAAAGGATGTAAGTGAGGATCCGAGCTCTTCTATTTCTATTTGGGGTGACTTGGGCAGATCACCGAGCAGCTCTGGGCCTCAGTGTCCTCCTGTGTAAAATAAGAAGGCTGGGACAGATGCCCTTGAAGGTCTCTTTCAGCTCTAAATCCTATGAATTCTGACTCTATGATGCTATGTGTATATAAATTTGTGTTGCATCAACAAACATCCTTGAATTTGAAAAGAAATGAAGTCAACAGATGGAGGATAGGTCAGCATGTTGAAGCTGGGGAGTTCAGTCCTTTATATACTGTTCCTAAGCTATAGGAAGGAAATGTTTAGTTACAGCAATACTGTTCCCCAGATAACACCAGACAACACAAAGGAATCACAAAAGGAACAAGTAAATTTCCTCATGATGCCCTTGGCAATGAACTTCTGTTCCAAGTCATCACAAGTGCTTCTAAAGTCATCGAGTTGTAATGAGCAGAAAATGAGAGTGATCCAGCAGTAGGAAAAGATAAAGACAGTCTGACTTCAAAAAAAAATTAAGCGCTTTAATTTCTATGGGTCCTCTTCTTGCCTTCTATCACCCTGCAGTGGCCAATCAGGTTCTTCTTTTGTGAATGCCATTTTATATTTAATAACAGAAGTGGCTGGAAATGTGAAGCAATCCCACTGATGAGGTCTTCAAGCTGTGCAATTAGGAGGCCATTCCCTAAATTGGCTCTGTAGTATCGCTGGTATAAAATAAACTAGCTAGATATGGCTGAGGGGCCCAGAGGAAGCAGATATAGAACATAGTTACCACCTCTGAGTCTTCATATTCTTGTCTCAAAGGGGCAGATGGTGCTCATGAAAAGGCTCACCTCCACACAAGTGCTGGATTATATTCCACCTCCCATGTCTTCTTCAGCAGCATTGGTTTTATAGGCTCCAGGGGTGGCCATCAAGCAAAGGCTTTGGGGTTGGGGTGGGAAAGGGTGGGGAATGGTATAGAAACTTCCTTCTATAATTGAGCCTGTCAAATGTTCTCTGGCTCAACAAGCTGGACACGTGTTCCAATGATATCACAACTGCCTTTAGAACCAAATTATAACTCACAAAAGAAAATGAGATTCATTGATTTATAATCAAAATGTCTTGGGGTGTTTTTTTTTTTTACCTAGAGGACTTTTTTTTGTGGGGGAAAGGGTGGAAAGGGAAGAAGAGAAAAGGGTTTTAGAACACAGAGAGGATGATATAAATTATCTAGTCCAACCTTCTTATTTTACATATGATTATACTAAGAGGTTAAGTGCCTTGTCCTAAGTCACATGGCAAACAGGCACAACCAGATTTTAAATCCACATCTTCTGGCTCCAAATTAAGGGCCTTTTCAATTATAGGACAACTGTCTTCTTATATTCCCCCCTGCAAATTGTTGATTTTGAGCAGATATCTTATTTAACTGATTTGGCTCCACGTGACTTTTGGTTGTTTTCTTAAACTAACTCTCCTACCCCACATCATAGTAAAGATTGAGGAGGGTACAGGTATAGGTAAGAAGGTGTAGTAGAAAGTCTTGGAGTCAGGAGACTCTGGGTTTATTCCTATCCCTGCTACTAACTCAATGGAGCAAATGACTTCCAACTCTTTGTGTTTTCATTCTCCCTTCAGTCGAATGCATGGCTTAGATTAGACATTCTCTAAGGCAGTGGTGTCAAACTTGAATAGAAACCTGATCCCCGTGAGCCCCATACTGACTTAGAAATCCACAAATTAACATTTCTCTATGCTATACTTTACTTCGTTAAATATTTCCCAATTACATTTTAATCTGGTTGGAGAAGGGGATGGGGGCAGGGAGGAGGCTGACACCTCTGTTCGAAGGTCTCATCCAATTCTATGAATCTATGATTTTCAATATGTTATATAATGAATGGGCCTGGTGTTCCACATGGGTTGGATTCATACCGTGGAGATGACAATGGAATTTAGGGAGTGAAGGAGTAAAGAGTTCTATAGAATTTAGACCTAAAAAGGGGAAATCTGAAGGTGTAAGGAACTCTCATTTTATAAACAAGGAAAGTGGGACCTAAAAGAGTGAAGGGACTTGCCAAAAGAGGCACAATTAGTAAGTAGCAGAGCTAGGACTTAGAACTACGTCTTCTGACTCCATAGTCAGTGCCAGTTTCCTTGCTTGGCCTCAAAAAGACCCATGCCCTCTTTCTATTTTCAAACGGTCCATTTAGTCCAGTTAGAAGGCAGTATTAATGATACAGAGACAGCTAGAGGACTCAATAGAGTGCTGGGCCTGGAGTCAGTCTTTGTGAATTCAAATTTGGCCTCAGATACTTACTAGCTGTATGACCCTGGGGCAAGTCATTTAACTTCTGTTTGCCTTAGTACCACTCCAGTAGTTTGCCAAGAAAACTCCATGGACAGTATGGTCCATTTGGTCACGAAGAGTTAGACACAACTGAACAACAATTAATGATGTACTTCGCACCACTACACTGCCCTATAATCAACCAAATGGAAACCAAGCAGCAACAAGAATATTTTTCTTTGTTCCCCCCGACCCATTCAGGTTAACATTTTCTCTAAATGTTTTTTCTACTCTGTCTTCTACTTGACCCTGAGAAAATGGTGGGGGCAGGGAAAGAAATGCTTCCTTCTCCTCTTGACCCAGCCTTTCTGCCTTCCTCCCCACTCCACCTTCAGGCCGTGTGGAACTTTTGAGCAATGCAATCTTACCTCTGGGAAATTGGTCATGTTTACTAAAATCAGCTGAGGCGATTTCAGGGAGATTTGGCCGATCTGATTTAGAGCAAACTTCCCATCACCAGTTGTCACAGTTATGTGATCCAGGGACCCTGAGAGAGAACATTCCACATTTCTCTATTACCTTGTATTACTTGGTGTAGGCTTTATTTTCACTTACTTTTATACATGTTGTAGCCCCTTCCCTCACTCCTCTCCACACCCCCCCCAAAAGAAAAAAAAACCAATATAAACTCCTAAAAGGCAGGGACTATTTTGATTTGAGCTTTGTATCCCCCCTAGCATTCAGCACAGTTTTTTGAACATAACAGACAAGAGAAAAGTCTGAATTAAACTGAATTTTTGCCACTTGAAACTGATCTCTGTACTGAGTCACCACCAAGCTCAATTTTGGAAAATACCAGTGCAAAGCCTGACAATGTCAAAAACCATCACAATTATTTATACTTTAGTTCTTCACAGACTGGTGATTCCATTAGGACTGGGGTTCTCTCCCCCAACATAGATCATGGTTTCTCCAATTTTGGCCAGCCTTCCGGTGATTTCTCTCCAAACTTTAACTGGTCCTCAGACACCAGCCTTCGTCTGTCACTGAGCATATCCCCAAAGTCCTTCTACCTTGGATTGACCTACCCAAACTTATACTTTGCTGGCACAGCTGTAAAGCATCAAAGATAGGGTTTTTTTTGATAGAAGTACATCTATAATCAAAAGCCAGAAAAAATGTTTTTCCAAATTCCCTGATTTCCTGTGCAAAATACAACTACAAGACTTATAGCAGGGATCACTTGCTGTTGACATCTCTTGTGACTCAGAACCGAACAAAGCAAAAATAAATAAAAGGTCACATGCAACTAAATTTTAGACTACTCTGGTCCCCTTATGTTATTATAATTCAATACCTTGCCAGGGACATATGATCTGAGCTGAAGACGTAATCTGAAATTGTTGCTTTCATCAAATGTAAGTCTGTTGGAAACTGCTTAATTGAACTACCAAAAGCAAAAGAATGGGGACCACTACTCTGAGTGAGTTTAGCCATGACAAAGGACTTTGCTAGTATAAAAGGAAATGAAGGAGAAAAAAAAATCTGGTCAATAGACTGATGATGAAAAGGGGTTTGAATGTACCCTATGCATTGAGGGGCTCCAATTCCACTAGGCTAATTGAATATCATGGTGAAACCAAAAAAATGCCATACTCAGAATCAAGAGCTCTGCCATCACCAGTCCTATGAATAGTGAGCAACTGACTTCTCCCTTAGCTTCCTCAGCTGTAAAATTGAGATAATTATCTAAGCACGTGCCCATGGTGTAGTAGAAGGTACAGAACTGGGAAATACAGAATCACAGAATTTCAGAGATAAAAGGAATTTCAGATGCTATCTAGTCCAGCCCATACCTGCCAAATAATACCAACCACAGTATAATAGTTGGCTATCTATGTTCTATTTGAGAAGGCACCCCTTCCAAGACAGTCCATTCCACTTCTGAATAGCTCTAATTGTTAAGAAGATCCTCCTTGTATCAAGCCTAAATCTGCCTCTTCATCTTCCACCCACTGCTCCTACTTCTGACTACTGTGGTCACAGAGAACAAGTCTAACTACTCTCTTCCACAAGACAATGCTTCAAACCCTGGAAGACAACTGTCATGTTCCCCCTCCACTGAGACTGTTCTTATCCCATTCTTTCAACCAGTCCTTTTACAGCATAAGCTCCAGGCCTTTCACCCATCCTGGCTGCCCTTCTCTGGACCCCTTCCAGCTTATCACTGACCTTACTAAATTGTGATGCCAAGAAACAAACATGATACTCTAGTTGTGGTCTGATCAAAACAGAATACAGCAGGATATCACCTTCGTCTTCTCAGAAACTTGTCTTAATGTAGCCCAAGACTGAATTAGCTTTTCTTGATGACACAGCACTAGTGACTTGTACTGAGCTTACAATCCACTAAAACCCCTAGATCTTTTTCAGACAAATTGCTAACCATGACTCCTTCCACACAGTTCTTGTAAAGTCCACTCTTTTTTTTTTTGAAGCAATTGGGGTTAAGTGACTTGCCCTGGGTCACACAGTTAGTAAGTATCCAAGGTCAAATCTGAACTTTGGTCTTCCTGATGCCAGAGATGGTGCTCTATCCACTGCACCACCTAGCTGCCTCGAAAGTCTGCTTTTTTGAATCCAAATGTAAGACTTTACACTTATTCCTATTATATTTTATCTTATTACGTTCAGCCCAGTGATCTAGTCTGTTGAGATCTTTTTGGATCCTGGCTCTGTCATCCAGGGAGTTAGCTATCCTCCAAGCTTTGTGTCATATAAGCCTTTATCCAAGTCATTAATACAAATGTTAAACAGCCCCAAGAGAAGCACAGATCTCTGTGGCACTTCACTGGAGACCTCCTGCCAAGCTGTCACTGAACCACTAAGGGCTGCTCTTTGAGTCTGGTCACCTACCAAACTCCAGTTCAATCTAACTTTACTATTCTCTAGTCTACCTCTGCCCATCTTTTCCACAAGAACAGGAGGAAAGATTTTATCAAATGTTTTGTTAAAAAAAAAAGGTCAGCTACATCTTCAATGTTCTAGATTAATAACTCTTTTGAAAAAAGTAATGAGGCCTAGGATGTGTTCTTGATGCAAGGCTGCATCACATCTTTCTTTTACAGATGTTGGCTAACCTTATCTCTAATAATGTTCTAGAAATCTGCCAGGAATTGAAGTTAAGGTCACTGTCCTATGGTTTACAGACTTCATTTTCTTCCCTTTTTTGAAAACTGGAACATCTAACCTTCTCCAGTCCTGCAGCCCCTTTCCTGTTCTCCAAAGTCATTCAAATATTATTAACAGTGGCTCAGAAATCACATATGCTAGTTCTTTCAGGAGTGGAGGAGGTAGTTTATCTGGGTCAGGTGTCCTGAATTCATTAAAGGCTGATAACATCTCTAATTATTTCTTTATTATTTCTTTATTCACATCTTTTAAGTCATTTCTGTCCTGCCTTCTCCAGTGCAAAGATCACTTTCCTTGGCAGAGAAAACAAACCAAATAAGAATTAGGCAACTATACTTTCTTTAGGTAGTCAGTTACCCTTGTCCCATCCACTCCAAGCAATGGTTCTTCTCTTTTGTCCAATATCACTTTTAAAACAACAACAAGAACAACTTACTCATGTCCTTATTTTTTCCTTGCCTGCATCATCAGCTCATTCTGAGCTTTGGTACCTCTAAACCTGCTGTTACAGTGCCATAAGGTCACTTCCTGGCTGTCTGCCTATCAGCTGTCATGCTACTGAATGCCTACCCTTTACTCCTCTCCTGTTCAGTTCTAGAATATAATCAAATCAATTCTGTCACTGGTCCTAAACAGGATGTGTCCATCTAAAGCCTTTGTGGCTCCACTCCCCATTCCTGCCATTTTCAAAACAAAATATCCCTCCCTGACCACCACTCTCCTAGATGTTTTTTCTCCCCCAGACTAACATCTAATGGCCTTTCCTAAATGCTCATTCTCCTTGACCTCTCTGCCAGCCTTTGACACTGTGGATCACTCTCTTCGCTCTAGGTTTTCATGACACTGCTCTCTTCTAGTTTTCCTCCTTCCTATCCGGCCACTCCTCTTTCTCCTTTGCTGGATCCTTATCCAGGCCATGCCCAATAAGTGTGAGAGTTCATAAAAGCTTTGTCCTGAACCCTCTTTTCCCTCTATATGATTTTGCTTGGTCATCAACTCCCACTGATTTAATTATCATCTCCATGCAGACTACTGTCAGATCTATTTATCCAGCCATAACCTTTCTCCAGCCTCATCTCCTCTCTCTTGACCTCCAGTTTCCCATCTCTAACTGCTCATCAGACATCAAGAACTGGATGTCCTGTAGACCATAGTAGGTGCTTAATAAATGCTGGTTTACTTGACTTGAGGGCAGGGACTATCTTTGCTTTTATATTTGTATCTCCAGCACTCAGCACATAGTAAGCAACTTGCTAATTTTTCATTCATTCATTCATTCATTCATTCATTCATTCATTCATTTCTTACTCTGCATTAATTCTCTGTATTAATCACCTGTCCTTGTATCTATCCTCTCAAAAACTTTTTAAAATCTAAGTTGATTAGTAGGTTCTCTGTGCACCCATACTGGTTGTCTGAAGAGACCAATATGCATGTACGTCAGAATTGTTCCCTCTGTAAGTCAGAGCTTGAGTTCAAATGCTTTATGTCATCTTGAGTAAGTCAATTCACCTCTCTTGCACTCATTTTCTCATCTAAAATGAGAGTCGAGAATGATCTTTTAAGATTCCTTTTGGCTCTAAAACCTATGATCTTACCTCATAGGAGTACTTTGAGGAAAAAACTATAAACTGTCAAGCTGGTGTCAGTGTGAGCTATTATCATTATTATTATTATTATTACTACACAAAAATCAGTCAGAAAATTAAGAAGACAAAGGGAGAAATGCTTTCTGATACATCTTAATTCCACTCTGCTTATTTGTCATGAGATTCTTTGCCAAAGAAAGTACTTCTGTGATCTTGGTGGAAGTCTTTTTAAGCAGCATGGTGTGGTGAGAAAACTAAGGAATTTGGAGTCAGAAGACCTGGATTCAAGTCCCAGCTCCAACACAAACTAGTTGTGACATCAGTGACAAGTCACTTAATTTCAACAGACCTTAATTTTCCCACTTGCAGACAGGGATAATAATCCTTGTCCCCTTACCTCAAAGGTCTGGTGAAAGGAAAGCACTTTATAAACTTTAAAGTACCATACAAACAAGTGTAGTTTTTAGTGTACATTGACGACAGTTATCACCCCTTAATGCCTATCCATAGCATGTTAAACTTTTTCCCTCTCATCGGTCCCCAGCAAGGATCTTGCTCACTTACTCCTCTTTTCTGTCCTTCACATTCCCTGAGGTTAACATTTAACAAACTGCACTCAATGGCCTCTCTCTGCCAGTCCAGCAGATCTTTTCTGGTCAAGTGGAGTAGAATTTACTGGCCAATTTTAGGTATCATATTTCTCCCAGAACTCCTTCTCTACTTGCTCTCTGGTTTTAACTACAGAATGTTAGCAGATAAAACACACCAGGGGAAGGGGCCACCTTTTATTCATTTCATACCAAAAACAATAAGCAGGGTTAAAATAAACAGTTAAAGAGACTGAATGGCATGCTCTCCTGTCAGCAAAGACAGCTATGTCCCAGCTGACAAAGGTTGACAAAGGAGAAGAATGGTCTTCTTGCTTAATGCTGGTTGTATCTTACAGCTCAGTGTGTATATAATGATGTTTACAAATGGAACCATATGTTTTTCTCTTTGTTTGCTCAAGAGCAACGTATTAAAATATTTTCAAATTTCTTATATAAAACAGCCTATCCTGAAGGGGAATGGAAGGAGGGATTCCTGCCCAAACTCCCTCACCTCCAGAGATGCCAATGAGCCTTACACTAGGCTGATGACAATTTCCAAAAGGCTCATTTAGTGGAAATTGGATTTTTCCTGCCTTGCTGACGTGTAAGCTGACAACTTGCCTCTTCGTCACATCTGCAAACATTCTCATAGACATTTCTGACATTTCCCACTTAAAAAAAGCCATTTTCAGGAAGTTATTAACCCAAACGGATTCTTCCTGGTCAAGCCCAGGATGTAAAAACTCTTTAGTTGGAAATTTCAGGGTTATAGTCATTCAGCTCCCAGTGTGTGATGAAAAATAATAAACCAGAAGAAATCTGAGGATGCAGATCAAAGCTCCTGGTTCTAATTACATATTGTGTGGCACAACAGATAGAAAGCTGGCATCAGAGACAAGAAAACCTGAGTTCAAATCTTATATCTGAAACATACTGGTTGTAGGGTCAAGTAACTCAACTTTTCAGTGGTCTGGGCAGCTCCCTAATACTAGAAATTGCAAAGGTGGAGAAAGTTTTCTCATCCCAGAGTTCCCTATATCAATGAAACCACAGGTTTAGTCCCTATCCTTATGTATTCAATTTACAGCAATAACATATTATAATAATGGATAGCAATATATATGTTACTAACCTGGAGAAGTCCTTATATTGAGATTTTTGTTGAAATTATCCTTAAGGGCTTCTACCACAGACTTCATTTCCACATTTACCTCTTCCAGACGGATTATGTCCTCCACCAAGGATGCATTAATGTTGACTCGGGGTTGGGGATGCCCTTTACCTTTGGCTAGGAATCAAACACACAATGAACACAGGCGGCAGCAGCACTAACATCAACAAACACTGGACTTTTATTCCTTTAGAATGTAAATTCTGGAGCAGCTAGGTGGTGCAGTGGATAGAGCACTGGCCCTGGTGTCAGGAGGACCTGAGTTCAAATCTGGCCTCAGACACAGAACACTCACTAGCTGTGTGACTCTGGGCAAGTCACTTAACCCTAATTGCCTTACAAAAAAAAAAAGAATGTAAGTTCCTTGAGGGCAGGAATTGATTTTGCTTTTTCTTTGTACCTTCAGTGCTTAGAACAGTTCCTGACATATAGTAATCCCTTAATAAATGCTTGTTAATTGGTTGACTGGGCTCAGAATCCATTGACCTTGAGAGACCTCAGACCTAGTCTGAGTTTCAACTCTGCCCCTTAATATCTATATATTAAGCAAATCATTTCCCCTCCCTGAGCCTCAGTTTCTTTACCTGCTAAATAAGGATGGTAATAACCTGCCCAAGAAGCACTGTGGTATGGCAGACAGAGAGTCAAACTCAGAGTCGGGAAAACCTGGATTCAAGTCCCACCAATGACACTTCCTGGCTGGGACCCTGGACATGGCACTCCCCCTTTTAGTGCCCCAGGGAACTCTCTAGGACTTTAAATTGCCAAACATTTACTGATGGCTACTAGTTGAAGCAGTGAGTTTACATAACAGAGCTCCCTATACCAGTAAAACCACAGCTCCAGGTAAAAAAAATAAAATAAAATAAAATAAAATAACCGTCCTCCCCACCTCCCAGGGATTTTTGGTAAAGAAAACACTTAGTAAACAACAAAGTACAACAGAAATTTCATTTCTTGTCAGGGATGATCTAGAGGTGATTTTTGTTCAGATATGGGCCCAGAGTCAGGAAGACCTGACTTCAAATCTGGCCTCAGATACTTACTAGCTGTGTAACCCTGGGCAAGTCACTTAATCATGTTTACCTCAGTTTCCTCATCTGTAAAAATAGGGGATAACAACAGTACCTACCTCGAAGGGTCACTGTGAGGATAAAATGGGATCATAAATGTAAAGCTCTTGGCATAGTGCCTGGCACATATTGTAAGGGCTATATAAATGTTAGCTGTTATTAAGATGTGAGACTTCACATAAAAGCTGTTCTGTATTTGATTATTCTAACATTCTGTGGCTTAGGGTCCCTTCCAACTCTAACACTGTGTGTTGTAGGATTGCTTTCCATTTTAATATACTATGTTCTATTGCTCCAATATTTTATATGCTAAGGTCTCTCTCAGTTCTAACAGACTCTGTTCTAACTCTATAAATAATGAACTATAATTATCATCATGAGCTATGGTCCTTTCCAACTCTGTTCTTCTGTGTTATTTCTATGACTGTATCTGAAAACAAAGAAGAAGAAGAAGACAAAGACGAAGAAGAAGGAGAAGGAGGAGGAGGATTAAGGTATGGTTTCCATACCTTTGGCTTTCTTGGTAGCAAAATGTCGGATGGGCACAGTTAGATAGGCCCCACATTGCCGGCAGTCATTCCAGGTCACACTCGTATTCCTCAGCCTAACTTGTGAAACAGGCCTTGTCAAGACTGAAAGAGAGTTGCAAAATCCAGGCTGCACCCAACGAAAGCATCTTAGTCCCAAAGCCATGGTTCAAAACAGTCCTTGAGAAATCACCTATGAAAGAAAGAAAAGCCTTTCACAGATATGAAATAAGCAGTGAACACTGAAGTAAGAGGCCATTCCAGCAACCTGAACCTTGTTGACTATAATGAAATGCTTATGTGGAAAAAATATACAAAATTGTAACCATGCTGTACTGTAAACAGAGAGTACAGATTATAGGAGCTAGGTTTTAAGCTGATTTTTTTAAAACCCTCAACAGGCACAAAATGATGGGAAAAATTACATGACAGATTTTAATTAAAATTGTCTTCTGCTCCATATGCACTGATTACAAATTAGAATGTACTTTTCTTTGCTGCGAGTCTAAAGCATGGATCAGATCCGAGGCTTTTAATGTTACTGGTGCTAGAGCTCTGGAAGATACCATTCTCCTCTGTGTGAACACAAGTTACTCATTATATTTCTATAGTTTTAAACCCTCAAAGATTTTCCAGCCTGCAGCTACCTCTGTGATAGAACTACATAATTGTTGAATAGCAATGCTGTATTCATAGCTTCAGAGAGAAAAGGGGGCTCTCTCACACAGCTGGGGAAGGCAGGGAGATAATATAACTTAGTGGGTATTTTGTTCATTCGACAAATATTTCTTGAGCACCTGCTATGTGTAAGGCACTGTTTTAGATGAATAAATTAGCCAACACCCTGAGTCTGCTATCTTTACCAATTAGTTCCAGTTTTCATCTATAGACACCCTCTCAAAATAAATGAGTCTCTCTAAAGAAGGAATGTGATACAGTGTAAAAGGATGACAATTGGGTAACCTGGGTTCGAGTCCTGGTTATGCCACTCACTAATTATGTCCCCCTAACAGCCATTCCCCTTCCCAGGGCTGAAGGCTCCTTACCCGTAAGATGATCTCTAAGGTAACTTTCAGTTTTAACATTCTCTGTTCCAACATGTCATATTCTGAAGTCCCTTCTATTTAGAACTTTGTATAATGCCCCGGGGTTTTTTCTTTCAAAGCCTCATATTTCAGTGTAAGTGAAGTACAAGTCATACAGATCTATGATTTCAGAGTGGGAGATTCTTGGATGGCAATCCATCTATGACTTAGTAGCTAAGTCCTTAAGAGCTTGCTGCCTGAGGAACATAGACATTTTAGTAACACGCACAGATTCACAAAGCCAGAGTCAAGAGTCGCGATATGACCCTAGGTCCTCCTGATTTCAAGCCCAACACTCTATCCTCTCTGCCACGCTGCTTTTAATAGTCACCATTAATTAAAAAATATTTTTTTAATTGCATGGCCTTTCCAGAAATGCAAACTAATGAGTTAAACATGAATAGTTTCTCCTCCTGTTACTATGAACACGTGAGTTTTGTAAAAGTAATTAGCACAAAGGATGCAGGATCTTGCCCAGCTATACAAGGAGCCAATAGGACCAAATTCTGTTGGGAATTTATATTACCAGGTACTAGCAGTAACCCTGCTCTATTTTGGCAGAGCTCTATGTAAAAGGTTGGCTTTGGGTGAGCTTTCTATATCTGGGCTTCTGCCAAATGTGGTCACTGTTAACCCATACCCATGTCCATATATGGGCTTCTAATTATGTGCAGGGGTGGGTTTTTTTTTTGGGGGGGAGATGTTAGTAAAAAAAAAATTGTTTGAATATTTTTAATCTACCACGTGCCACAATCTGCCTGCTCAATTTGAGACAAGCTTCCTGGTCTCCCTATTTATGAATCATAATAGAATGCAGTATAGCAATACAAACTAGAATTGGGTTAGAAATAAACAACCTTTGAAAGAAAAAGCAGAGCCCAAAAGCAGAACTGGTACAAGAGAACCGGAAAATAGCCTCTATAAATAACCTGCGTTACTCCAACATTTAAGGCTAAGATTTTAATTGCACATAAGTCAAGAAATTTGAAAGCAGAATTCCAATAATGTTACTAGCTTGTCGAGTATACAATGACACATTATTATATAGCAGACTAAAAACAGTGTTTAATTACCCATGCAAAGAAAAAGAATTGTAGGAGTTTTTTTTTTAAACAGTGTATCAGAATTAAAAGAGACCCTGTAATAACATTTTAGAAAACAGAACAAGCACTGGCTGAGGAGTCTAAACACCTTGACTCAAATCTCAGCTGTGCTATCTACTTCTTGTCTGTGTAACACTGAACAAGGAAGCCATTTCATTGAGCCTCAGTGTTTTCCTCTCAAATTATTTCTAAGGTCCCTTCCAACTTCAAAGCCTGTGAAATTTAATATAAGAGATGGAAATAACCTTAAAAACAGTGTTAAATCTGGAAGGGATCTTGGGGGGAAAATAGAGCTAATGGGATCTCAGAACATAGAACATTAGAACTTTAGAGCTGGAAATGCCCTTAGACATAAAATGTCAGAAAAAGTAAATGTCACATCTGAAAGGGATCTCAGAACACAGGAGGTTAGGTTCACAGATTTAGAGCCGGAATCATCCCCTTCAGTCCCTTTGTATTTTAAAAGAAATGGAAGTCCACATAAGTGAAGAAGCTTACCCAAGGCCTCACAGCTACTTGGCAAGATCCCATGCCTCCCATTCCATAAGCTAATGATCTTTCTATTATACTTCTCTGCTTTCCAGGTGTCACTTCCAAAAAAGTTCAACTTGTTACCATTTTGCTACACATAGTCTTTTCTTTATACATTTAAAAAAAATTAAGACCAACTTTCAAAAAACTCATCTCTAAAATCGTTATCCCTAAATCATTCTTCTTCCTCTCCTAATCCTTTTTCCCAACAGGGCAGATGTGGACCTATATCACTGCCTGACTCAAGTTTCACCCTCTTCCTTTCCCTCATTTTCCAATGAAGTGTTCAATAAGTTAAGAAAACAGGAAGAGACAAATAACAAGGTGGCCAAAAGAACCCAGGCAATCAAGTTGTCTTCTGAGCATCATTAGGATTATCCAATTTTAGTTCCCAACTAAGACACAAGTTCTCATCAGAAAGACTCTGCTAATGGTAGTTTTTCTAAGTTTCTGAGCAATCAGTAAAGGAAGTAAGTCAGGGTCCGTTGGAGGGGAAAAGTTCGTGACTAATCAACAAAATAATATTAAATGCCTACCTAGGCAAGAGGCACTTTGTTAGGCCCTGAAGTTACAAAGATAAAAATAAGAGGCAGCTAGGTGGAACAGTGGATACAGCACCAGCCCTGGAGCTAGGCGGACCTGAATTCAAATCCGGCCTCAGACACTGAACCCTGGGCAAGTCACTTAACCCCATTGCCTAGCCAAAAAAAAAAAAACAAACCAAAAAAAAAAAAGACAAAAATGAAATAGTCCCTGTCCTCAGGGCACCACTGCCAATTTCATATCAACAAGGCTTTTTGGATCCATTCTGAATGGATCTGAAGAAGAGATTTGAGAAGACAACTCAACCTAGGTTGGTTGCAGAGGTAGGAGGCCAATGGAAGTGGTATATTGAACATATTTACAGATTTGTTTTTATATACTAATCAGTTTTGCTGATTTTTTTTCTTTGCCAATTTTTGTCCCTCCATAATAAATATCATTTATTATGTGGAATGCCTCTCTGAGGGTGTGGAGAAGAAATACTGGGAGAAATTCTGACAATAGGGGGATTAAAAAAAATTAAAAAAGAAAAAATATGCTTTAAAGAAGGCTACCATCCTTGTAAACAGTATGATTGAAATTGTTTCTATGTATCTGACAATGCTTTAAAATGTTTTAAATGTATCTATGTTTCTGACAGTGCTTTAAAATAGATGGTCATTTAAAAAAAAAAAAGAAATAAGATGTCTGGCCTAGGCAGTTTTGAGGAACAGCAAGATGTGTTTGGCTGCAGCAGAGTGAATGAACATATGAATAACATATAAGAAGTCTGCAAAGGTACGTTGGAGTATGAAAAATGATCACCTCCATTGGCTTTAATCTCCCCACATATAAAATGAGGGTACTAGACTTCATTATCTCCAAGGTCCCTGCTATCTAAAGCAAAGAATTTGGAGTCAAAGTATACGGCTTTGGACAACAAGGTCAATAATAACAGCTAATACATCACTTTAAGGTTTACAAAGGACTTTACATACATTACTGTAGAACTAGAGGTAGGGTAGGTATCATCATCTCCATTTCACAGGTGAGAAAGCTAAGGTGAAGGAAGGTCCAAGTAACTACCTGAGTAACTTATCCACACACCAAATAAGTATCAGAGGCGTAATTTCAAACCAGATCTCTCCTGACTCCCAGACCAGCACACTTGGCACTACATTGCCTCTCTAATAATTTAAATGATGGGATTGAACTGGATGAGCCCTAGAGGTGAAAAGAATCATGCAACCAATCTGAGTGGGTCCACTACAAATTTATGTTACACATCTTCAACTGGGCCCTCACTGCTGCTAGATAATCCTTCCATACCTGCCTTATCAACTCACTACCCCACTTTCCACAGAGACTTCCAAACCTTTTCATCCCTCCTCAAACCCCCATGGCTTCCCCTCCTCACACTCTCAACTGAGAACCCTGATTCATATTTTACAGAAAAAAATTAAGGCCATTCACTGTGAGCTCCCTCTTCTCCCTTCTTCATCATCTCCTATCACTCATATACTGACCTTCTGTCACAATCTCCTTCTTTACCTTTGTCTCACATGAAGAGGTGGCCAAAATCCAATAGCCTTTTCTCAGTCTTCATTCACTTTAACCTCTCTATAGCTTTTGACGCTATTAATCACTCTTCTCCTTGATACTCTCTTCTTTCTAGGTTTTCCAGACACCACTCTCTCCTGGTTCTCCTTTTACCTATCTGACTGCTCCTTCTCAGTCTCCTTTGCTGGATCCTCCTCCAGATCACGCCCTCTAACCAAAGGTGTCCCACAAGGTTCTATCCTGAGTCCTCTTCTCTTCTTCCCCTATACTACTTCACTTAGTGATTTCATCAGCTCCTATGGATTTAATGACTACCCCTATGCTGATGATTCTCAGATCCACCTAGTCTGCACCAACCTCTCTGTTGACCTCCAGACTTTCACCTCCAACTGCCTTTCAGACATCTCAAACTAGATATTCAGAAACATCTTAAACTCAACATGTCCAAAACAGAAATCTTTCCACCTAAACTCTCCCTCCCTTCTACTTTCTCTATTATTGTAAAGGGAACCATCATGCTCCTAGTCCCTCAGGCTTGAAACTTAGGAATCAGCCTAAGCTTTTCACTATCTCTCACTGCCTATATCCAATTTTGTTGCCAAGGTCTACAGATTTCACCTTTGCATATCTCTCACCCCTTTCTTTTCTCTGACACTTTCCTCCACTTCGGTGAAGGCCCTTAGTCACCTCATACCTGGATTACTGCAATAGCCTGCTGGTAGGTCTGTCTGCCCAGTGGTCTCTCCCTATTCCAATCCATCCTCCATTCAGTGATTTTCCTGAAGCACAGGTCCAACAATGTAACCATCACTACTCAATAAACTCCAGTAGCTCCCTATCACCTTCAGCATCGAATACAAAATCCTCTTCCTGCTGTTCAAAGCTCTTTATATCCTAGTCCCCTACTATCTTTCCAGTTTTCTTATACCTTACTTCCCAACATGTACTCTTCAATTCAGTGACATTGGCCTCTTGACTGTTTGCTGAACAACACATTCCATCTTTCACACGTGCACATTTTCTTGGGCTGTCCCCTACACCAGAATGTTCTCCTTCCTCATCTCCATCTACTATCTTCCTTGGGTTCCTTTAAGTCTCAACTAAAATCTCATCTTTGATAGGAAGCCTTTCCCAATCCCTCTTAATTCTAATGCCTTCCTTCTGCTAATTATTTCCTATTTCTCTTGCACATAGCTTGCTTGTATATATATCTATTGCTTCCTCCATTAGACAGTGAACTCCTTGAGGGCAGGGACTATCTTTTAAACCTCTTTTTTAGTATTCCCAGAGCTCAGCACATAGTAGGCATTTAATGTTAACTAAATGAGAGAGTCTCATTTCCAGCACCAATCACATGATTCTAAGATCCTTACTAGAGACTGGTAGAAAATTATAACTTTCTTGGATTTCAGCGCTTTAGGTCAGAGGTTCTCAAAATGTGGTTCCCCTGGAGGGGAAGGTGTCTCCCAGGTCAAAACTATTTTTATAATAATACTAAGATGTTATTTTCCTATTAAAATGCTCTTCCTTTTTCCAACTATGCATCTGTTTGAAGCAAGATTTTCTTCAAATACTACAACCACAACATATCCTGGCAGATTGAAGGCAGAGACAGATATGAGAATCCAGCTGTCTTCAATTAAGCCAGATATTAGATTTGCAGAAACTACGCAAAACAATGCCATTCTTCTCACTAGATTTTTTTTTGTTTTGGAAAATATATTTTGCATTAATATTACTTATGCTAATACATAATGGGTTTGTTATTGCTGTTTTGAAATGAATTAGATATTTTTAAATTTTCTTTTAACTTCTAATACAATAAGTATCGACAGACATAACCCACATAAATAAAAGATCTTCTCGGTCCTCAATAATTTTTAAGAGTGTAAAATGTTTTGAGAACCGTTTCTCTAGGTCACGGATTAGTATTAAAACCCACTCCTATAGCCTTCAGCCTAGTTCCGGAGTGACAAACACCGCCCCCTTCTCCCTAGACCCTCCCTAGAGAACAAGCAGGCCCCGCCCCAGCCTCTATCTGAAATAACAGGCCCCGCCCCCAGCCCAGGAGTCTTGTCTATTCAGGCGAAGCCCCGCCCACACTACCAGCCTCACTTTAGAGCGACAAGCTCCGCCCCTCAAGCAAAGGTCAAATCGAACTCTTGTGGGTCGAGGTGGGGGGGGGGGAAAGACCGGGAGATTGGGAGTCGTAATGCTTTGGACCCTGAAGCCCGCTCCTTTCGGGGCTTGGGCTCCTGCAAGCGCATCCCTGCCTCTCTGCCTCGGCCGCGATCCCACCTGCCGAAAAGCAAAGGTGAGCCGTGGCTCGGACTCACCGGCTGTGGCTTCCGCTGCCGGGGAAACGGGCTTCGGTGCTGGTCGCACGTCATCAACGCAGGCTTATGACATCACGAAGCGGCGCAGCTTGCGCAGGCGCATCTCTGGTGGCTGTGGCGAAGTCAAAGAGGGGAAGAAGGGAGGTCGGGTCCAGGCCTGGCGGTTGGAGTCAGGTGGTGGAATCCCGAGCCGCAGCCGCCTTGCGGCGGGAGGAGCCGAGGAGATCAAGCCTGAGGCCAGAGGGTGAGTTGAGGCCCGCCGGGAGCTCCCCCGCTCGTTGTCAGCCACCTCCTCCCCCTGCCCTTCCCATACCGACTGCTCCTCCTTGCCCCCTTGCCAGCCAGCCCTATTCCCCCACACTTCTACCCCGCCTCGGCTTATCCCCCTGTCCTCTGCCCCTCCTGTACCCCCTTATGGCGGATTCCACACGCAGTTCCTTTTCCCACTCCATCTTCACCTCCTCCCCTTCTCTTCAGTTCAGTTCCCCAAGCATTTATTATATATACACCTTTTCTCCACCCTCCCCACCTCTGTGCCACCCCCGCCTTTATTACTGCTGTGTTCTCCTACACTTTCCTACCCTTCAAATGCTGTTCCCAATCTCCCTAATATGGCACACTGCTCTGAATGGTCTTGGCCCTTTTTACATCATCCTTTTTTTTTTTAATTCTAACCATCCTTAAAAATCCATCTCCAATGTAAACACCACATTTCTTCGAAGATTTCCATAAACCAATTCAAGTCCACAGTCACGTTTAATTGCCTGCTTTGTGGCTGGAGTGGTGCAAGGCTCTTTGGATAAAGGGGGGGGGGGGAGAGTTTACATACTGCTGAGAACCACAGCCTTCTTGCTTGAAATGTGGGGTGTGTCAATCACCTTTTTAGTTCCCAGAAGTGGCCTATGTGTTCTCACATCTACCAGGAAGTTTCCAGTGATCTTGAAGGATGTACAGCCTTGGGTAACATATGGGACATTTCAAGGACTGAGGCAAGGGCAAAGAGCAAGGCCATTCCCCCATCTCTCCTTAGGTGAAAGAGTGACTATGTCACACACACACACACACACACACACACACACACACACCCCCTATTAATTTCTAGGATCAAGTATAAACACCTTGTTTAGCATTTAAAGTTATTCACAACCTGGCCTCTTCCTGTCTTTCCAGACTTTATACACTTTACTCCCCTCCACAGACTTTATAATCCAGTCATACTGGCCTTCTTGCTATTCCTGGAACACAACATTCCATCTCCCACCTCTGTACTTTGGTACTGGCTGTCCTCAATTCCTGGAATGGTCTTTCACCTCACCTCCAACTCTTAAATCCCTGGCTTCTTTCAAAGCTTAAAGGTTTCGATGGGCTTAACTCAAAAGCCCACTTTCTTCAGGAGGCCTTTCCTGGTCCCTTCCCCCCCCCCCAAGTTGGTAGAGCTTTCTTCTATAAAGTTATCCTCCAACTACTCTATGTGTGTCTTGTATGTAGCTATTTACATGTTGTCTTCGTCGTTAGAATGTAAGCTATATAAGGTCAGGGACTGTTTTTTGCCCTGGTGCTTAGGACAATGCCTGAGAAATAGTAGACACTTAATAAATGTTTGTTGATTAATTTTCCCTTCAAATGCCCCATTATGCAGTCTCATCTGGAAGAAGCTTCCCCAAATCCCCATGCCAAATCCTTCACATTTGTTTTAAGTGACACTTGTTGAACTGAAATTAACTGCCCAACTAACCTACTCCAAACACCAAGCTTAAGTTGTTCAATCATGTCTGATTTGTTGTTGTTATTCAGTCATGCCTGACTCTTCGTGAGCCCATGGACTATGCTGTCCATGGGGTTTTCTTGGCAAAGATACTGGAGTAGTTTGCCATTTCTTTCTTCAGCGGATTAAGGCAAACAGAATAACTTGCCTAGACCACACAGCTAGTAGGTGTCTGAGGTCAAATTTGAACTCAGGTCTTCCTGACTCCAGGCCAGTGCACTGAGCTGCCTCCATAAGTTCTATTGACATTCTACCTATTCACTCTCAGTACTTCATATGGAGTTTCTTTGCCAGGGCTAACAAAGGAGCTGTCCCTGGGGTATTAGTGCTGAGGCCTTGTGGTTAGAAGTAGCTCAATCAGTCAGTCAGTCATAACTCCTAAGAGTTGAGAGGGAACTTCAAGAAGTCATCTGGTCTTACCACCTTGTTTTGAAAGCAGTATGTTATAGTGAAAAGAAGACTGATACGGAGTCAGAGGACCAGGATTCAAATCCCAGTTCTGAAACTATGTGACCTTGAGTTAATCACTTTTCTGCTCTGGACTTATGTTGCCTCTTCCTTTAAAGAAAGGAGTTGGACTAAGTGATTATTAAGATCCCTTCAAGGCTTAGATTAGTGATCCTGTGATCTTTAAAGTCCTTCTAGGACTAAATCCTTTGCTCCTATGACAATAATCTTAGAGGGACTTACCAACGGATCAGGAGAGAAGAGTCTATCTCTCTCTTCACCCTCCCTTCTCCCCACCCCACTTTCACCTTCCCCACCCTCCCCCCAATCTTAGTTTCCTGACTGAATATCCTCCCTTTCTTTGATCTGAAATTCTGCAGGGATTGATGGAGGCAGAAACCAAAACTCTTCCCCTGGAGAATGCATCTATCCTTTCAGAGGGTTCCCTGCAAGAGGGGCATCGGCTATGGATTGGCAACCTGGACCCCAAGATCACAGAGTGAGTCTAAATGTCTTTCTCCCAACAACTATAAGTGGTGATATTAATGTGAGGAAGGGATATTCATTGAATAAATGAGTTTTGAGCCTGCTGTGTGCATAACACGCTGCTGGGCACTGGGAAATCATAAAGATAAGTCAGTTTCTGCCCTGAAGGAGTTTGCATCTAATGGGAAAATGAAACGTGGATATAAATCACTAGATTTTACATGTCTGGGCCTCAGCTTCCTTATTTATAAAATGAGGGAGTTGGACTAGGTCAACTCTTGCAGCTTTCTTGCAGCTCTAAATCAGTGATTCTGTGAAAACACCACATACTCAAATCTGGTAAGTGCATAAGCAGAGTATAAAATGCTAGATCTGATAAAAGAAAAATCCTTTCTAGCTGGTAGAGTTGGAAAGGTTTCCTAGAAGATGTGGCATTTGCTGTACTCTTCTAAGTATAAATAGAATATAAAATTGGAATTGGAGTAGGGGAGGGGAACTGGAAAAGGAAGAAATGGGCAATCCAGACATGGAGAGAACAACATGAGTAAAGGTGCAGAGGCAGAAATATTAATGAATTTTTTTGAAGAAAAATAAGCATTTTGGTTTTCTGAGGGTACGTCTTCTTCTCCCGCCCCTGGCCCCCAGCAGCTTTGAAGATTTAATATATACATTTGGCATGTTTATTAATCCTATCTCTTTGTGTAAATTTGGAGTTTTCAGTGGCAAGCCAGCAGGATAGGAATCCTTAAAACTATAGGTTCATTATGATTTAAAGTGGAAATAAGCCTTAGAGGTCATTTAGTCCAAACTTTTCATTTTACAGATGAGGAAACTGAGGCCTAAAGAGATGAAGTGGCTTGTCCCAGGTCACAACTAGTAAGTAGCAGAGTCAAAATTCACAACCAGGTTTTCTGATACCAAATAAAATGTTCTTTCCACACCACACAATGCATCCCAACTGGCACACTGTGGCAAATTGTTAATTCTTTGAAAAGTCTTTACTTCCGAAGGTCTTTGAAGCCAGTAAACTTCAAAAACTAACACATTTTTCACCCTTGTATCTTATTCTTTCCATTCTTGATGCCCTTATTGTCTTAGAGAATTTGGATATGTTACAGATCTTTTGCATGGTTTGGTTTGGGACACATGACTTCAACTGGTGTTCTTGTGATCTATTTTATATTACTGAACTTTTCTTTTTTAATTTTATGTTACTCTTTCTAAAGGTTTTCTCCCTAGTTCTGCTACTCAGGAAAAAAGAATATTTATTACTCTGTAGTTAAAGTGAACTATTCTTCCAGAAATATGCCCTAGGTAATGAAATCATTTCCAAAAGGAAATGCTCCTTTTATATGAAGTGGAAATGGGCCTTGTTACCTCATAGTTGTGTATGGAACAAGGATAAAATTACATTCTGTTAGAATACAGAACATTAAAAAGTTAGAGTTGGAAAAGAGTCTTAGATCATAGAGTTGTAGAAGGCCTGGGAAACCATAGAATCCAATTTCCTTGTTTTACAGTGGAAGAAATTGAGACCTGGGGATAAGAAATGACTTGCTCGTGTACATACAAGGTGTTGTAGAGGACCTGAGAAACGATAGGCTCCAATTCCCTTGTTTTGCAGATGGGGAAACTGAGAAAGAGGGAGACTTTTTCCCCCATAAGGGACCCTTTGGTTGTCATGATAGATAATGGGGAGGAGGGGTGAGTTCAGATCATACTCTGAGGGACAAACAGCTCCCATTGGAAAAGGGTCCCACAGTAAGGAGAGTAGGAGGAGGAGAAGGGTGAAACAGAAGAGGGCCATACTGCAGCCAGGATTTGAGCCAGAATCAAAGGTACAAATGGCTAGGAAGTGACTGAATATGGGTCAGGATCCATTTTCATTTCTGTAGCAATTTCAGCCACAGAATTTTAGAGCTTTTAGGGACCTCGGCAGCTATCTAGTCCAATCCCTTGGTGAAAAAGAATCCACATGGCAATACATGCAACAAGTGGTTATTAAGACCTTCCTTAAAGTCCTCCAGTTAGGGAGAACCTACCACTTCCAGAAGCAGTCCGTTCAACTTTTGGATAACCCTGGATAACTCTGACTTTGGAAGTTTGTCCTAACATATTTACATACCTCCTTCTCAACTTCCACCCACTGAGTCAAGTGTGCC